TAATAATACCTAATTAATTACATTATATTCAAATTACTAGTGCGTAAGTATAAAGTTTATTTATAAAATTAGCATATCAAGATAATATTTTATTAAATATCAATACCTAATTAATTACATTATATTCAAATTACTAGTGCGTAAGTATAAAGTTTATTTATAAAATTGGCATATCAAGATAATCTTATTACTCTAACTGTTTATATTACTAGGAGGTACTGTATATATATTGATCATTTTTGGAATTAGCATATCAACAAACATTTTTATTAAATAATAATACTTTAATAACTTAAATTATTAGATCGTAAGTAATTAGATCAATTTAAAGTTAATATATAAAAGAAATTTCTCTTATAAATAATAATGCTTTAATTAATTATATCTTAATAAAATTATTAGATGGTAAGTATTAAGTTTATTTTTAAAATTAGTAATTATATAGATTCTAACTAATTATATTTTAATTAAATTATCAGGGAGTAAGTATAATATTTATTCCAAATTAATATATCAAAAGAATTTCTTTATTAAATAATATTAAAATATTAGACCATCGTAAGTACAAAGTTTATTTTTAAAAATTTATTTAAAATTAGTATATTAAAATAATTTTTTATTAATTAAAACAAAAATTAATTATTTTCTGACTATATATTTTTTATTAAATAATAATTTTTAATTAATTATATTCTAGTCGACCTGATAGTCCGTGAGTATAAGATTTTTCATATTTATTTTTAATATTAAAAGAATTTTTATTAAATTATATTTATATTAATTAAATTTATAGAGAGTAAGTATAAAATCTGCAGTTTTAATAATTTTTATTAAGTGATATTAACCAATTATATGCTTATTAAATTATTAGAGAGTGAGTATAAGGTTTATTTTTAAAGATTGCTATTTTTATTAAATAATATATTTCTTTAACTAAATTATTCAAATTAATCAACTATGTAACAAATTACTATATTTTAATCAAATTTATAGGTTGTAAGTAATAATTATTTATATTTATTTTAAAATTATTTTATTTATTCAATAATATACCTTTAATTAATTATATACAACTAAATTTTCAGAGAGTAAGTATATAATATATATTTACTATATTTATTTTTAAAGCCAGTATTTCAAGAGTAGTTTATTAAATTATGCTTTTAAATAAAATTATTAGAAAGTAAGTTGACTTATATTTCCTATAAAAAATTGCAATATCAAAAATATATAGAATTAAAATTGTATAGATTATATAATTAAATATATTTATACACTTCCTGCATTTTTATTATGTAAATTTATAATTTTGTACTGCAATTTTTTATAGAATTTTATTTTAAATTTTAAACCAGAATTTTGTTAAATAACACTTTTAATCTATATACCAATTAAACTACTAGGGAGGAAATTTAGTTTATTAATAGATAATAAATTTTAGTATTATAAAATCAGTACTAAAATATTCTTTTATTTCGAGTTTTTTTTTATTTTTATATAATCTATTTTAGTAATTTTAAAGAGTATTAGAAAGGAATGGCGATTCATCTGTGGTATTCCATTTATTATTCTGTATACTTTTAATTATATCACGAAGCTTATCAAGACGAACTCTATAAAATCTTGAAAAGAAATTAAATTAGTATTAAATTTGTAATGAAATAATTTCATAATAACTTGTATTATAAAAGTATTTATATTTACATAAGTTCAGGAAACCAATTGTTTTTTCGTCGTTGATATGGTAACATGTAAAATAACTCTATTTCTGCTAAGATCTACAATTTATAAACATTTATTTAATATCTATTTTATAATTGCTGATTAGAAAGGTTTTAAATATGATAATAAATTATACCTTTGCCTTTTGAAGTAAAAATAATTCTTTTTTATTTGTTTCAGCAATTGAATTACTTAACAAACCAATAAATAAATTCATCAAATAGATTGTTGTAAAAAAAGAAAAGGAACATATCAAAAACACCAAGGTTAAATTTTCAGTTAATACCCAATTAGACAAATAGGTTGAGTCACCTAAAAAAAAAGATGATAAAATTGATAACATCATCAAGATGAATTAAATTAAATTAAATTAAATTAAATACCCGTTAACATGATATATACAGCTAAAATCGCAGTTTTCAGCATTGTAAACATATTTGTAGTTGCTGTTGGAGGTTCAACAAGTATAGCATTTTCTGACATGCTGCCATTTTCTGAAATAGAATTATAAGCAGATACTAGATTCCATGGATCATTTGGATCATTAGAATAACTAGGGTATTTTAAAGAAATTTCAGTTGTTGGTCTTAACAGGACATGTAAAGAGTGTGCAAATGCAAACACGATAAAACCTAATAATATTAGAAAAGAAAATGCGCTTTTTGCAACTCCAATTATCATTGCAAAGTATGCGCCAGTAACTTCAAGAGTACGGAAGAACAACAAGAATTTAAGTTCAAGCAATAATATAGAAATTGAAACAGCACAGACAGGCATTGTAGAATATTGCAACCAAATAATAGATGTTGTTATAGGAAATAATATTGCTCCTAAATCTTAAAACGATATCAATTTAATATAAACTAAATAATAATCATAATTAATAATATTAATTGAATATTAGAAATAATACCAAAATAATTCCAAGGATCAGTAATCCATGATAACGGAGAATAAATAAACTGTCGAACCTCAAATATAAGGTGTAAAACTCCAAGAAATATAGTTGTAATTAAAAGCTGTTTTTGAGAATTTTTGGACATTCCATTTGCTATAGTAGAAACTACCAAAAAACATCCCATAAAAATTGAAAAAAAAATCCAAATAGCAAAATAATAATATTTTCCATAGTTATTCCACTTGAAATTAAGAAGCACTTCACCATTCCACTGTTTATAGAGTTCCGAAGATTCATATTTCGTAAAAGGACTAAAGTTAGGTAAAATTAATTCTTTCCAAGAGCTGTAAGTACTAGGGTATGAATTAAATTTTGGTAAAGGAAAGATCATAATGACAGATGGATGTTCATCCAATCTTTTGAAAATTCTGCACTCCAAAAAATTGAGAGATAATAGTTTGATTTCTTGACAGAAATTAAATAAATTATTGATGAAGGATGTTTTAAATGGTTGGGAATATTTTCTATGATTTTGAAGATGTGATGCTGAAGAAAAACTTCTGATCGCAAGATATTTATTTTCACTTGAAATAATAAATGATGTATGTGATAAAAATTCCTTTAAAATGTCAGGAAATTTTTGAGACAACTCCACAAATGAAAAGGTAATAATTTCTAATAATTTGATGTTTGTCAAAAAATTCTTTTCATCTTCTATATTTATTTTAATGCATTGCCTATACAATTTCTCCGCCATTAAATAGTTTTTATTATTCAAAAAGCTCCTTAAAAGTTGTTGCCCATATAATATCAGTGTTATCTTATTTTCAATATAATCTTCTATCAATTCTTTAAAAGGGTATCTTTTATTCATACAGAGTTCTTCATAATATGGCATCATTGCATCAAAATCTGGTGGTGATAATAGATTTTCTCTATGATCACATATTTCTTCAAGAAGCTTTCTTATGTGTGGTTTTTTTGCAAAAAATTCTAATTTTTTATATTCAGATTTCTTGTTTACATAGGAACCTGATATATATCGATCATTAAAGTCTTTCTTATTTAAATAAGATGATGTAAAAGGAAACCCCTTATAATATCGCAATTTGATTTCTTTTTTTGGCCAAACCGTCCAAATTAAAAGGCCAATAACTGTAATCATCACCAAATCTTCGTTACCCAATAATTCGCATCTATAAACAAATCTATATTTTTGTAGATGTTCTGGCTGAATCTCTCTTTTTTCACCCACCTGATTCCATTCTTCTGTAGTTGAATCAAGTTTTATAAAAGCTCGTAGTGTCCTGCCATTTTGTTCTAATTTCCATTTTACTAAAAATCCCTCATATGATTCCTCCACCTTTTTAATTATAAATTTATCATCTTCTGTATTAATATTTTCATCCAAAATGACTTGCAAAAATTCCACAATTTGTGATTTACTAAGTAGAGATCCTATTTCATTGTAATCACCTAATTTTTTTCGTAAAAATTTGATCCATTGTTGTTTAGAAAATTTTTGAACTAATAGGCATCCTTCCAATATACTATATATCCTTTCATTCTTAATCATGTATAAATCTGCTTTTTGTGCATTGATTTTACCATTTAATTCAGCTGAAAATTCTTCACATAGATTTGAAACTGTTTTAACGTGGTTAAGACAGTAAGGGTCCCTTATTTCAGTGAAATCCTCGAAAAACAAAAGAAGCCTTTCCCCTTCATTAGATGAAATGAATTCCGAATGAGACAAAATTTCATGCTTCTCATATTTATCTATTAATCAAAAAATGCCAGATATAATATAAAAATTATTATGAATGTTTGAATATTAGTTTAAAACTTACACTGCGATAAAAGGATTGCGTTTTCTGTTAAGTAAACAGAGATAAATAAATGATCCAAAGCTTGCAAACATACAGCAAGCAATGTGAAACTGTTATTAAAAATGTAAAGGTCCTTCTTCAGTTCATAAGCAATCCAAATCCTATCCCATTCTAACTGATATTGCTTTTCATATTGTAAAGTATCTAAATCCCATTGTGTCAATAAACCACAAACATCTAGAATAAATAGTTTCCCATTATCGGTCGGATCACATGCTCTAATGTCTCCCATTATTCCGCAATCAATTGAATTCTTACTTATCCAACAATGATCGTGTAAGTCTTTGGAAGAAAAGATAAAGATTGTGGCATGAAGTTTATTAAATCTTGTTATTGGCATGTGTATTGCTAAATGATCATACTTATTAAAAACATAAAAAGGCAAATAATCATCCGAAAATGGCATATCTGTATACGATTTTAAATTGATTTTCTTCTTTGTGACAAGATTAAAAATTTCTTTAAGAGGATAAATGATCAAACAAATTAGCGATAAATAATCATGAATAAATATCATAGATTGATATTAATTATTACTTACCAGAAACTTTGTGCTCAGTTGACTGTATCACAACAAGTTTATTGTTCGAGATAGCTTCTAATTGTGGACTAGGAAAATCCTCATAAAGTTCTTGGATGGTTACTGAACAGTCAGGTTCGAAAAAGAGATCATTAATAATTTGCCATCCACTGATAGATTGGTCTTCCTCGCTCCATGTCACAGCATATTCATTATTTGGTGATAACAGAATTTTAGTTATTTTCTTGCCATTGTGCAGTTTATTTTTTATGATTTCAACTACATGTTCCTCACTCATTTTGTAAAGAATCTTATGTTAGGCTTTATATTTTGTGTTTACACTTAAAAATGAAAGTTATATTTATTTCATAATATCGATATGTGATATGCATAATTTAGGCTTAGGTGGCTTGAAAATGTTGATGCCAATAACATAACGATAAATATTTTGAGATTCGCAAAATGGCTTAACGGTGACTACTATTGGCATTGAAAGTTAGCTTAATATGAAAATAAGTAGCTGCGCAACGTTGTCGCGCAAAACCAGGAACGGGAAAGTAGCATATTACAATTCTAAGTACTAATAACACTAACAATTGGTAAGTCTGTTATACAGTAGAGACAGTACCTAATCCAAAGTAAATCCTTCTCTATTTAAATTAAGTATTTATAAATAAGTATTCATGATTTTAATTCTACTGATTAATATTAACAAATCATCTTTATACTCGCGAGCTAAATAAATGTAAATAAAAAAAATGATTTGAAGGATATTAAGTAATTAGTCGTAATTAAGTATTTAGTGACAAATATTTATGAATAAATATTTTTTATTCATATATTTAATTCTACTGATCAAAGTTAATAAATCATCTTCATACTTAAAGGCTAAATTAATGCGAATGAAAAAATAATTTGAAGAATATTAGGTAATTAATTGTAAATAAATATTTAGTAATAAGTATTTATGAATAAGTATTTATTTGTAATTTTAATAAAACTAATTTATATTAATAAATCATTGTTATACTCACAGACTATTTGAAAGGTATTAGGTAATAAATTGTAATGAACTATTTAGAGATAAGTATTTATGAATTATATTTGTGTTCATAATTTTAATAAATCACATTTATACTCACAGACTATTTAAAGGGTATTATGTAATTAATCATAAAGAACTATTTAGAGATAAGTATTTATGAATAAGTATTTACATTCATAATTTTAATAAAACTGATTAAATTATTTTATACTTATCAACTATTTGAAGAATATTAGGTAACTAATTGTAAATAAGTATTTAGTGATAAGTATTTAGATATAAGTGTTTATGTTTATAATTTTATTTATACTGATTAACTATTTTAATACTCACATACTACCTAAAGAGTATTAGGTAATTAATTGTAAATAAATATTTAGAGATAAGTATTTATGTTCATAATTTTAATAAAAATGATTAATGTTAATAAGTCATCTTTATACTTACTAACTAAAATGATTTGAAGGGTATTAGGTAATTAATTAATTGTAAATAAGTATTTAAAGCTAAGTATTTAGTGATAAATATATATATTTATGATTTTAATGAAACTGATTAACATTAATAAATCATCTTTATACTCTCAATCTTAATTAATGCAAAATAAATAATTTGAAGGGTATTGAGTAATTAACTAATTGCATATAAGTATTTAGTGATAAATACATATGTTCATGATTTTAATTCTACTGATTAATATTAA